GCAGCTGTTTGACAACTATTATCAGGTGCAGTTGAACCTTGCATACGGCCGGCGCACCTGAAATTTGAATTAACCAATCAGGATTCTGCAGGCTGGAAAACTTTACTGTCCTGTTGCATGTTAATTAAAGTCCGACATATTTTCTCACCGGAGACGGCATTAAATATTCACGAAAGAGGATTTCTTGACTCCAAAAGTCATATCAGATTTTTATTTTGCGCCAAAAATGGGTCGCCCGCACTCGGCAACTCGCTTTTCGATCGCTGTCGCCAGGTAGGATAATAGTTGTGTCATTTTGGATATTTTGAGCAAACATGCTGCTGTTCCACGTCAAATTAAACCCAGAATTCTTGAGTTTAGTATTAGAAGAAGCCAAAGCAACTTAGAATTTTCTCTTTGTTTTGTTAGCTGTGAACAAAAAGACTATTATGGTGACGTTTCGGTAAACAGCTAAGTTTTGACTGCCACTCGTACTGCGGGCGCAGCCACCGTATCCAAGTAAAGGGTTAGTTCTAGAAAAATACGAGCGCAAGGTTGTAAAACAAAAGGCATTTAGTGTTTTATCATATAGACTACGAGTAGTCCCTCTTTCGCTTTGTCCTTCGTTCGTGACGCAAACGAAAACCCCAAGTAACAAATGGCGGCGCGAAATCCTGCGGACGAGAAGCGCGCTCCTCACACCCAGGATTTCGTGCGGCCATTATTTTCCACGANTTGGTAATGTGGAGTCTGAAAGCGATAATTTCATACATTCGTTTGAGAGGGTCTGCAGTACGTATGACATATATATTCTTTTGGAATCTGATAAATTGCGTCAGAGACTGACGTCATTTGATCCGGTGATAACAAATCATGAACAAATGCTTTGCGTGACGCATTTCCTGTCGGCTCTCTCCTCCACAGAGGCCCCTAGCCCTTGACCGTGTAAGCTGGTAGTTCAGAGGCCTGGGAGATAGAATAACGGAAGTGCGCGAGGAACGCCGCGCCTTCCCAGTCCCAATTCACTTTACTGTCCTGTTGCATGTTAATTAAAGTCAGACATATTTTCTCACCGGAGACGGCATTAAATATTCACGAAAAAGGATTTCTTGACTCCAAAAGTCATATCAGATTTTTATTTGGCGCCAAAAATGGGTCGCCCGCACTCGGCAACTCGCTTTTCGATCGCTGTCGCCAGGTAAGATAATAGTTGTGTCATTTTGGACATTTTGAGCAAAGATGCTGCTGTTCCACGTCAAATTAAACCCAGAATTCTTGAGTTAAGTGTTAGAAGAAGCCAAAGCAACTTAGAATTTTCTCTTTGTTTTGTCAGCTGTGAACAAAAAGACTATTATGGTGACGTTTCGGTAAACAGCTAAGTTTTGACTGCCGCTCGTACTGCGGGCGCAGCCACCGTATCCAAGTAAAGGGTTAGTTCTAGAAAAATACGAACGCAAGGTTGTAAAACAAAAGGCATTTAGTGTTCTATCATATAGACTACGAGTAGTCCCTCTTTCGCTTTGTCCTTCGTTCGTGACGCAAACGAAAACCTCAAGTAAAAAATGGCCGCGCGAAATCCTGCGGACGAGAAGCGCGCTCCTCACACCCAGGATTTCGTGCGGCCATTATTTTCCACGAGGTTCATTTACGGTCACACTTGACGGAATAAGCCAAGAGTAGTCTCTAAGGTGAGGGTTTCTCAGCATGCAGCGCCCAGCAGCAACGCAAGTCCACCTCCCCCCCTCCCCTCCCCAGTAGTGTCAGTCCTTTGAGTACCAATAGCCCAATTTCGATATGTTAAAATTCAGTCTAAAACAATAGACCTCAGCTCGAGGCTCCGGAAAATAAACCCCACAAACTCTGTAGTTATTCCCC